CAAAACAATAAAAGAAAATCTGGGACTAGAGGAGAATAATGCATGAATGAATGAATGAAAGACCTTTATTGTACATTGCTAACTAAGTACAGGTCATGGTAAATAGAATGTAAGACTAAAATATATCCATAGTAAAACTACATGGGTACAGGCTCTGCTTCTTTCGCTTCTTAACACAGTTGTAAATATAAGAACAGATGGAGTTTATAGTACGAGGGTTATCGAGTTAATGGTCAACACGTCAATGTTTGTCACCAAACCCCCAAAGAAGGAGAAGGAACAATCCTGTATCCATTTGGCTGGATAAAAAAAAAGGTACCCGTACAAAAATCGCCTCAAAACACGCCTTTGTCCTATATTTCTGTTAAGTAGACAGCTTTTTATTATAGGTAAACACCATTTAACATGACTTCTGCTAATCAGGACCTTATTTGTATGGTTGGTTAGGAAATGCTACAAAACGAGGACTTTATTTGCATAATCATGAGAAACATTCATAAATCGTCGGGAGTAAAGCTTAACGACATTTTTTGGGCAAGGTATGAGATCGTGGAATTCTAGTGACCATATGTCATAATTTTATTTAGTCTAGCACATGTCATAATTCTATTTAGTCTAGGAGAATTATTGTTTCCATACATTGTACCCTGTACACCATATTCCATACATTATACAATAACACGTTTTCCTTACTTATCAAAGTCCAAGCTCTGCATGAAATTTTTGTGAAGAGTTTCTTTGCGATGCCTCCACCATGTATACACCGTCACTACACCGGTACCGAACACTATGAGTACAACACCGCCAGACTTAAGCTGACTGGGCAACTCCGATAGAACGACGTAGTCCAACAGCACTGTGAGCGGTATGGTGAAAGTCTTGATGGTGGCAGTGATCCCCGCCTTTTCCGTCTTCAGGGACAGTTTTGTAGCAAAATGCGAGCCGCAGACACACAGGCACAGCCCCATAACATAACCCACCGTCTGTGCCGACATCGCCCAAATCGGGGTCTCAAACAAGTACGTCAGTCCGAGTAGCACGACCGCTCCTGGCAGGTTGGCGTAGAAGAGCACAGTTAGAACGGAGACCTTCTGTACACCGATGAGCGACCGTGAGATGACCAGACTTGGAGCTCTACCGAGTGTTGCTGCCAAGGGAAGGAGAATGGACGCCACCAGACGCTGCGTGGACAAAGTGTTCTCCGCAATTAATCCATATGCGACTAGTACAACACCGGCTACGTTGAGAACGATTCCGAAACAATCCACGACGCCCACAGTTTCCTTCAGGAACACAAAGCCAAGACAGGCCGAGGCCAAAGGCATGGATCCTTTCATGATACCGTAGGCGATCCCAGGGACAACGAAGACGAAGGACATATACTGGAAGGCAGTTCCAAAGTTCTCCGTAATGGTCGACAGCACCATGAGTAGAGTTTGTCGTCCGTTTTCAGTTGTCAGTTTTGGTCTAAAGAAGGGCAGGAAGAGCAAGACTGTAAGAATCTCCACAAGGTTTGCGAGGAACATCAGCTGCAGCCCAGGTATGCCTGCCTGGCTACCCAGGGCCATAAACTGTGACGCGGTGGCGGACAGAACTGTGTTCAGCAGAGCATACAGCACACCGGCTCCGGGTGTCAGGTAAGTCTGTGCAAAACCGGCGCCTTCTTGGTCTGTGGTCTCCTCGATATAGGTTGCTGTCGCCATGTCCGCGAGTTTAGCTGTCGTTGCTCTTCTTCAGCTTTGAACATCAAGTGAGAACTACACGAACTCCGCTTAAGACTGATGTGATACGGGAAGTTATTTGTGAAGAGAATTCTTCTTGCCAGCTACAGGAAATGTTGTCAGCACCCAGGCTAGATACGTAGATGGAATGCCATCCGATAATGCATTGGGCTGTCCAATCGAGCTCAATTAAGGCGGAACTGACAATTCAGTAAAAGAATGGGCGGTCCCAACTGGAAAAACCTTCCTACGCGGCCGAAGAGGTATCTGCTCTACTGTTACGTACTGAAAGGGAGTTGTCTGCATCTGGTTGGTTGGCAGTTTAGTTGTTGAGCCGGTAGCACTACTCTTTTCTCACTATAGGCTAATCTCCAAGCCTGTAACCATTGGGTGGCGAAAGAATT